AACAATTATAAAAATAATATTGATACTAATGATGATGATGATAATAATAGATATAATAAAAGTGATAATAATGATGATAAAAGTAAAAACAATAATGATGATAAAAGTAAAACAATAATGATGATAAAAATAAAAACAATAATGATGATAAAAGTAAAAACAATAATGTTAACGATAATAATGATGATAAAAGTAAAACAATAATGATGATAGAAATAAAAACAATAATGATGATAAAAGTAAAAACAATAATGAAGATGACAATAACAGTAATAATAATAATCATTATCATTATCATTTCTTTAATGCCATTATTAATGTTATTGGTATAATAATAGCAATGGCATTAAGAGTAAAAATAACAATAAGAAAACAATAATAACAACATCAATGGTAATACCAATGATAATGATAATAATAGAAATAATAATGATAATGATAATAACAATAATAATGACGATAAGAATATGATTGATAATAACAATAACAACAATAACAATAACGATAATGATGATGATAATGGTGACAAGAATGATGATAATGAAAATAACAATGATAGTAATGATGATGATGCTGATGATAGCAATTGAAATGATAATGATGATGACAATAATAACAATAATAATGGTCATAATAATAATAATAATAATAGCATCAATAATAAAAATGATCATAAAAAATGATAACGATAATGATAACAGCAATAATATTAATGTCAATAGTAATAATAAGAACAATGATAATAATAGTAATAAAAATGATAATGATAATTTTGAAATAATGATGATAATAATAATAGTAATAATAATAAGGATCATAATAGTAATAATGATAATGATACATTAATGATGATGACAATAATTGTAATAATAATAATGATAATAATAACAATAAGGATAATAATAATTATAATTGTAATGATAATAATAATAATAACAATAATAATAATAACGAAAATAATAATTATCATAACAACGATTAAAAAGTAATAATAATGATAATAATAATATTAATAATAATAATAATAATATAATAATTATCATAACAATAATAACATTAATACTTATATATACTTATACTATGATATAAATAACAATAATAATGTAATAAGAATCAATAATAATAATTATTATACATGATGATGATGATGATGATGATGATGATAATAATAATAATAATAATAATGATAATAACAACAATACTAATGATTGTTATTACTATTATTGTTATTATCATAATCATTCTGATAACAATAAATAACAATGATACTACTACTATTACTACTAATAATAATAATAATGATAAAATTATAGTAATGATAATAACAATAACAATAATAGAAATAATAACAATGATGATGATAATAGTAATGATAGTAATAATAATAATAATGACATATTTTTTTAAAATAATGACAACAATAATAATTATGGTGATAATAATGAGAATGAGAATAATATAAATATAATCATTATTAATAGTAAAGGTGATGATGAGGAGGATAATAATAATTTTAAAGATGATAATAGAGAAAATAATAATCAGACAATAACTTTTTTCCCGACATCGCGCGCAAAAGAATAATCAAAGCAAACAAAAATGGTTAATTGAACTCAACTCCGCTGGGCAATTAATGGATTTCGCGATTATTGGAAGCCGTTTAAAATTCCAGATAACTTTCTAGACATGAGGCACAAAAGCCTAACCATAATAAAGGAATAAATTTCCTGTGGTAATTTCCCCCGAGGCAAAGAATGCGGCAAAAAAATCCACGCTACTTGAGATCCTAGTTGCACCCTTAAGCCGCGAGACACGCAGGTTGGGTGGGGGGCAGAGGGAGGGGGGGGGGGGGGGGGGGAGAGACGCGTGTGCGAGGGGCGAGAGGGAAAAAACGGGTAAGGATTGTATGTTTTTCTCTCTTTCTCTCTTCTCTCTCTTCTCTCTCTCTTTCTCTCTCTCTCTCTCTCTCTCTCTCTCTCTCTCTCTCTCTCTCTCTCTCTCTCTCTCTCTCTCTCTCTTCTCTCTCTCCATCTATCTCTCTTCTCTCTCTCTCTCTCTCTCTCTCTCTCTCTCTCTTCTCTCTCTTCTCTCTCTCTCTCTCTCTCTCTCTCTCTCCTCTCTCTCTCTCTCTCTCTCTCTCTCTCTCTCTCTCTCTCTCTCTCTCGCACTCCACAAACACGCGCTGGAAAATACATCATATTCCTGTTTGTTTACCTATATGGTTCACTCACTGCTAGACCCTTTTCTTCCCCCAAAACAGCATATCATCTAGTTAAAGTACAGACCTGAATCCTTTCCCTGCCTTTCCTTTTCTGTCTCGCTACTTTGAGGACGTAACCAAATTTGTCTTCAAAGAGCGGATGGGATTTCGACGAAAAGTCCACCTTCCGCTTTTTCCAACAAGTCGAAAAATATTAAAAAGAAAAGAAGACGAAGAAAACAAGAGAGCATCTACGACTATGTGGCCAAATACAAGGCAATAGCTCCTCGTGCGTTCCTGCTGGCTCTGTCCCAACGGGTGAAGCCGACAAGATCTATTTCCTTCGCTGGCATAATGCTTTTCGATAAACTGGGGTCAACATTAACGCTGTTCATTTGTCTTCCACGGATTCTCTGTTTGTCTTCCTTCGTCTGCCTGTCCTCTTCTTTATCGTTCTGATTGTGCCTGAAGTCTGTTTTTCCTATCTCTCTCTTATTTATCATAATTTCTTTTCTATCATTGTTTCATTTCTTTGCTATTATTGTCGCAACTATTATCATTTTTGTTGTTGCTAACATTACTGTTATCATTATCTATATATTATCATTTTCAATATCATTATTATTATTATCATTACTATTATTAGTAGCAGTAGCAGTGTTATCTTATTACCATTATTACTAATACTATTATTTTTATCATTATCATTCTTATTATTTTTAACATTATAATGCTATTAATATGATTATTATTATGACGAGTATTATCATTAATATTATCATTATCATCATTGTTATCATCAGTATTATTCTTATCATTACTATTATTTTTATCATTATCATTCTTATCATTATTTTCCTCATTATCATTATTATCAATATTGTTATTATCATTATCATTGTTATCATTATTATCACTATCATCATTATTGTTGTTATCATCATTGATAATATTGTTATAACTATTTTAATTATTTCTATTGCCATTATCATTATGATGATGACTAGTGTCATCATCATTATTACTATCATTACAATTATTACGTTATAGTTATTCATAGTTATTACCATAAATAGTAAAGTTATTGCTCTTATCATTATCATTGTTATCATTGTCATTACTAGTATTATTATTAATAATGTTATTATTATTATAATGGTTATTACTATTATTATCATTACCGTTATCACGATCCTTATAAATATAACTTGTCATTATAATCATTGTTGTTTTTTGTTGTAGTTGCTATTAACATTACCATCATAAATATCATTACTATTATCCTCAGTATCATTACAGTCATTATCATTAATATTATCATTATTATTGATACTGGTATTATTATCATCTTTATCAGTATCAATATTATTATCTTCATCATGATTATTATCATTATTGTTATCGTTATCATTACTATTATTATTATCACTATTATCATTATCATTATTATTACTATTATCATCATTACCATGATTATCACTTTTATCATACTGTCATTATTATTGTTGTTTTATCATTACTGTCATTATCATAGTAATTATCATTGTTGCCATTGCTATCATTATTCTCATTAGCATTATTACTTGTTATGGTTACTATCATCATTATAGTATCATTGTTATTACTGTTGCTTTTATCATTATTATCATTATCATTGGTATTACCATTTTCAGTATTGTTAATCTCATTATTATTATCATTATGGCAATCTTGGGTCTAATTGCCTCAAAGCTGATGATGTAATTCACTGTTTATCCGTGACACATCACATTCACTGTAAGAATTGAAACAAACAGTATAATGAGCAAACTCCCAAAAGTGCACGTTATAACAAGGTACATATCTGCAAATAAGGTACGTATCTGTAAATGTTAAACTTTGCAAGGACAGACATTTAAATTTCATTGGTGTACAAAAATCATATCATGTACGTAAATCACTGCTTAGCCTAGACAATCTCTAAAGTTACTAGCTACACAAAAGAGTATGCAGTACAAATAATTCATGAATACATTGTGTTATATAACTTATCACATACAAAGGAAACACCAAAATACATTCACTCAATACAAATAATTCATTAATATATAGTTCATACAAATGATAAATACACTGGAAATGTTATATCACCAATCACATACAGAAGCACAGAAATATAGATATACATTACTATACAGAATATTCTGGCATTTTCATTGGAAATAATTAGAAATTATCACAGTAAGAAAGCTTCTTGTTGAACAGGTTCAAATCATAGAAAGTAAAACACATCAAACACACGTGACTCCCTCGTGAGCCTTGAATAATTAATTCACTAAAAATGCTTCTATCAGTCTTAATAACGAAAACTCTAAAGGCACACATTAGTATGATGCAGTAATAACTAAGGAACAAAATATACATGGTCATTACCTTTTTCTAAATCTTACTAATTTGTGAGCTCTCAGCAATGCTTGCTGTAGTCCACAAACACGTCGTACTCCCGGGTAACAAGCACCAAACGCATGGCCACCAAAACAAGAAAATACATACAAGGATTTCCACAGATTACAATCAACGTTACTCGTACACTGTCCATTGTTCTTAGACAGAAATAAACAAGATTAATGTTACAAATCTCAATTTTCATTGGTGAAAATAACAAATGCACATCCTACGAAAAGAGCGGGAGATCTGAAATATACATAGACAAAATATTCATAAAGCTTTCATTTACATGATTCTTATTACACATCAGAACATTGCCATTTACAATATTTATCGTTATCATTATTAACATTATTATTATTCCCACCTCCCTAATCTTGTTGTCGGTATCATTTATTTTTTCATCATATCATAATCTTTAACACCTACAAATTTCCCTTTCGCATTTTATTTTCCCCCTTTTTATAATTAATAAGACTGAAACAGCACCACGTTTGTCTCTAACATTTATCTTTCTGAAACCCAATTGTCAAGATATAAACCTCGCCCATCAAATATCACAATATAATGTTCTCTCATATTTCCTATACAAGGTGGTGTATGTGCCTTTTATAAAATCCGCACGTCTGTTGCTCGTCTCATAGAGCTTGTTTCCTCTTATTTTGATGTCGTTTGGCTATTCACCTCTATTAGCTTCATGTTTTTTTTTCGTTTTTTTTTATTGTTGTAAAGCTCTATTTGACTCCACCGCCTTTTCCGACTATCTCACCTCTTGTCTCGAGGAAGTTAATGTTCATCATTTGGAATGGCTTGATTCCTCATAAAGTGACCAACGTGGCGAGCATGTCCTCTTCTTTTCTCTTTTGAAGGACCTAGAACAAATCACGCAGCACCCGACATGTGTCCCAGACTGTCACGGCCAGCAGTCAAACCCTCGATTAATTTCGCACGGTGAATCCCTTGAATTATCAGTACACATTTTCCGCTGAAACTGGCACATCCACCTTTTATTACCTTTACAAAACGCCAGCTTTGGCAGAGTGAGGATGCACAGCGGACCAACTTGCGATGATTTATTAACGTGATGTCTACTGGAGAAGCAGGATCCCCAATGCCAACGCGAGAGATATCTCCTATCAAATAGGTTTTTCATAAATGTCCTTCGACATCTAAAATCTCACTCTTTGGTATTTTATCACCCGTGTGGGTTTTGGAAACCAGGATGCCCTCTGCTGATATCATTTAATCTTTCGTGGCAACCTTGCATATTTCGATTCCTCAATTCCTGATGTCGCACATTCGGTTAGGGCATTACTGTTTCGTGTTATAAACATGATATATATGTATATATATATATATATATATATATATATATATATATATATATATATATATATATATATATATATAATATATACTTATTTATTTTATTTATTATTTAAGTATATATATATATATATATAATATATATATATATAATATATATATATATATATATATATATATATATATATATATATATATATATATATATATTATATATATTATATATATATATATATATATATATATATATATATATATATGTATATATATATATATATATATATTATATGTTATTGCATTACCCATCCATAGTTATCTCCCTTTTCAGTATTAGTTTTATCACTCCTAGACATTCCACCTTTTTCCACATTAATTGCTGAAAACTTTATTCATTTTCCTCTGCCCTATTCATCTAACATCATTCCTAACTCCTGCAGATGATGCATTTCAATAGAAAAGAGTTTGCTTTTGGTCTGAATTCCGTAAGAGAATTTAATCAGAACTTTGTTTTTGCTCTCACTGTGATGCCGTTGTTCGTGCATAGAGCATGATGGATAATGTTCTGGAACTGTGATGGAGAATTTCAATAATGGGGCAGCAGCTGGTTCAACAAAGAGAAAGCATTCGGTTTAACGTTGCAGCAAAAGTTTATCTGTCATGAATATTCAAAGACTCGCATAACTTTTGTATATGGAAATCCTAAATGCTTCTTTCGTTCACCTTTCTGTTATGTGTTAATTTGTATTCTCGTTTATTAGTCTCTCCCCCTCCCCCGCTCCCCTCTGCCTCCCTCTCTCTCTCTGTCTCTCTGTCTCTCTCTCTCTCTCTCTCTCTCTCTGAAACAATCTATCTAGCATCTATCTATCTCTATATATATCTACCTAGAGAATTAAAGAGAAAGACCTTATCACTTCCAAAAATCTTGCCACGCTTAGAAACGCACTTCCCCGTGGTCTAACATCATCCTTATTTCAGGTATATGGGCAGTGTCTGCCGGTGGCGGATCCGAAGGAGTGACCACCACACGCATCCCAGACGGCGTCACAGTCCTTCCGAATGTCAGCCGCGTCAGCCTGGAAGAGGTGTCAGCCAAAGAGGGCAGTGGGAAGAGAGAGGAGCCCTACTTTGACGCGTCCATGTCGTCCCTGTACACAGCTTATCTGGGCAAGACCGCCACACTCACCTGCGTCGTCCATGCGGCCAAGACGGACAAGTCGGTATGTGGGGCAAGAGGGCAGATTATTATTAGCAGTAGTAGTGTTTTTATCATTATCATTACAGTGATTACTGTTATCAGTAAGGCTATGATTATTATAATGATAATTAGTAGTAGTAGCAGTATTATCACCATCGTTATTATTATTATTATTATCATTATTATTATCATTATCATTATTACCATTATCATCATTACTAGTATTGCTATTGTAAATGGAATTATGTATCATTATCATCATCATTCTCTTTAATATTGATGATTTTCACTATCCTATCACTATTATTATCATTACTACTACTGCTACTGTTTTTGTTGTATTATCATTATC